GTTATAAATACATCTATTTGTACTCGGGCATGGTCTGGTTGCATGTATTGGTTATTCCCCTAAAGATGGGTGTGTGTATGGAGAAGAAAAATGTTTTCATGCTGTGGATTAGCAAAGAGACAAGAGGAGAAAACCCACCAGGGCTGTCAGCACGGGGTGTTTCAGGGTGTGCCCCGTCGGCAAACACGGGCTGGGAGTCAGCAGGGCTGCCTCTCGTCGCAGAGTTAGTGATGCAAGTGTTAACTGGAGCCTCCCGTAGGTGTGACCGAGGCTGGGGGAGCTCTCCTGCCAGCCCTGCGAGGGAGGGAAGCGGGCAGGTAAATCCTCCCGACAGGCAGCCGAGTTGCGGGGAGTGTCCCGGCTTCCCAGCGCTCCCGGTTTGTTGAGCGAAACGGTGATGAACAACAGCCTTGTGGGTTCCGCCAGGTAGCAGAGGGAGCTGCCAGCCGGTGCCAATGCTGCCATGCCTTGTCCAGGGCTCCGCGCCAGGTACGTGAAGCCCTTTCGGTGCTGCTTCTCCTCCTCTGCTCCCGGGCACAGGTGAGTGCAAGGGGCGAGTCCTGCCGCCGTGCCAGGGGAAGCCGCGTCCTGCCCACAGCTCCATCGGATTCCCCTCGGGTCATCAGGGTGCCGGAGGGAAGGAGAAAGGTTGGGTGGAAAAAGAAAAAAATAATATAAAAATTCTCCTCCAAGAAGTTGCCCAGAGGTGGCTGAGACGGGCAGGTCATGGGCAGCTCCTCGGCTGCTCCTCGTCCCTTCTCCGTGGGACTGAAAAGGCTGCAGCCCTGACCTTGTCTGTGCTGCTTGGGCAGCAGAGACCTTTCCTGAGCAGCCCGACATAGGAAGTAGCTGCCCTTGCTGAGAACGGGTCTCCCCGTGCTCTGTGTGCAGGGAAGGAGCTTGTCTGGCCCTTCTCGCCTGGCTCGCACAGCTCGGGGCTGTGTGCAGTGTCCACTGAAAAGAGCCAGCTCACCTCCGGTTTCAGTGGAAAAAGCCCCTTCTGAACCTGCCTGAGCAGAGGGCTGAGGCTGTTTTGTATTCAAGTAGTGTTGCTGTCACTGCTCTCTAGTGTGGCAGTTAATTTTTGTAAATCAAGTGCAAAGAAGTGTGCAAGGCAAAGAAAAAACCCCCCTTGTTTTCAGTGGGGAAAGTGCTGGGGTGTCCAGTAAGTACTTTTTGTTGTTGTTGTTAGATTTTTGCTTTGGTGGTGAGGGCATCTGCAGCTCCTTTTTATAGGAAGAGAGAGTGTTCCAAAATTTTGCTACATGTTGAACATTGGAGTTTAGAAGATGACTGAAGTGTATGTGCTGTTGTGCCTACAGCACAAAGCTTTGAGCTGTGCAAGATATGAGGGGTGTGTGTGTGTTGCCAATAGCTAAGTTCAGGGGCAGCTGAGCCTTGTGGTTTCTGCATGAGAAACTGAGAAGGTTCACCCCATCCCATCCTGCTGTTCTTGGAGTAGCTTTGGGAAGCACTGCCTCAAAATGCCTACAAATCTTTAGGGAGGTTTGGGTTTTTGGTTTTTCTTAACCCTGGTGGGAGGGCTGTGTAACACCTTGATAGTCCCTGCCTTGATATGTGGATGTGCCAAAAAGCACATCCAGGCTGTTGTGTGCAAATTAAAATGCTGCTCCTGCTTGGCTTAACCCTGGTTGATGACACTCCCTCTCTTTCCAGCCCTCCTCTGCAGTTGCCTCCTTTCATTCTTGGGTGAAAATCTGCATGGCAGGTTGCTCTTACCTTTGCCTTGTCATTCCTCCACTGTCCTGTCCCTGTGCTGTCCCCTTATCAAATAACTTAATCACACTACTTAATAAAATGAAGCTGTTCCCCTCAGCTCCCTCTCTGCTAACACCTTGTACTTTTTCTTGGAAATAAACACTTTTAGGTGGGATGTAAATCTAACAGAAAAGTAAAGTGAGATTTGACTTGTGCCCCTGATGGGGCTCTTGATCCTCTCACAGCTTTGGGATTGTGCAGTGGTCTTTTCCCCCTTTCTTTTCCTAGACTTCTCCGATAGCATTCCCCTAGAGCTGCTCATTTTGCACCTGCCCCACTTCCAATTTACTCCTGTCTTTGCATTCTAGCTTCCAAAAGTATTTTAGGCTTCAGCCAACCTTCCTTTAAGACTTAGGTTTCTTTGTGGTTAAGCCTCAGGCCAAGTGGTTGGTCCAGCCAACATCCCCCTTCCTGGGTTTTACCTATCTGAGAGAGTTCTGTGGTTCTAGTCCAGGTCAATGCACAACTGAAGACATTGGGCTGACACTGTGCAAATCAGAAGACAACCTTGAGTAGATGGCCACAGTCAGATATAACCCTTGGAAGACCTGGGACACTAGCACATTTTAGATGTTTCAGTGGAAAAAAAAAACCCAGCAACACACTTCTACTGTTTGCTTCCTCAAAAGAGCTACAGGGAAGTGAGGTGGAAAACAATAAAATACTGGGAGGTGATAGAAAGTATGGCAGCTTTGTGGACCTACAGAGAGCCAGTGTCAATATTTGTGGTGTCACATCATTGTGCTGGGGAAGTCACTGCACGTTTCTCCACCTGCAGCTTTGGGGCGTTAATTAAAAACAAGGCTGCATGATAGATGGAGCCAAAATGCACCTATGGGTGGGGTACATGGAGAAGTGTCTTGTCTCTTGGGTGAGCCGGTGGTGGGGAAATCTTGTGTGCAAGCCTGATCAGCAGAACTGCTCACATAACTGGGGAAAATGCCACCAGCATTTTGGGTGCTTCTGTGCCAGCTGTGGGAGGAGAGGCTGGTCTTTGTCCAGGCCAACTGAGAAAAGGGGGGGAGGTGTTGGTGAAGAATTGTTCCCATGACCAGTGACTCCTCCAGTTTCTTTCCTTGTCAGCCTTTTAATGGCATCCAGCTGATTTAAGATCTCCTCAAGTTTTTGAAGGCAAATAATTTTGTGAGAGCCATTCCCTGTGTAAGAAAACAGGTTAATTATGGGTGGTCATCCTCTTTGTGTGTGTGTGAAGATCACTGCTCTCGCTCCGTAGAGATCAGTTTTTCTTTGCATATGAATAATTTTAAGGTCAAAGTCCCTTGAAAAGAATGCAACCGTGAGCAGTGAAGCAGTGCTGGAGCTTGCTGAAGTTGCTGCTTCAAGTTTAATAGTGGTGACTTGGCTATTTGCTCTTCCTAACATGTTGTTTCCTGACAGATGGGAGGAAGCTTAAGTGTACATCCAGCTATTCAGGTGCCAATGTACATGAACTCCTCTACATCTTTCAAAATTGTTTGGAAATTACATTGGCATAGGCAGAGTCAGTTAGAGGTGTTAGTAAATCACATAAAAGCAGATTTCAAGGCGTGGCCAATGGTTCCTGCTCTCTTCTCAGAGGCAAAGAAGCAATACTGTAATAGGGGCATGCAGCAATCTCTCCCTTATATACCAGCTCATGTCTGTACAGAAGTCCCTTGGCTGCTCTGGCTTTCAGGTACATTTTTGCCTGGATGGATGTCACCCAAAGGACAATGGGCATGTGGGATTCTTCCCGCTGTTCTTAGTGAGCTGATGATCAGGCACTGTTAGAAACCCCAGCTGCTTGCCTGAAGCTCATTTTGCTACTGCACTCAGGGTTTAGATGTTGTGAAATACCTTTTGCTGTGTTTTGTACGTTGCAGACCATGTATTTTTACCCCAAACTTCTCATTTGTCCCCATACATTTTTTTAAGAAGTTGTTCACTTGTGAGTTTGTCTTTATGTGACTTTGTGACTACGGGAACTTTATGTAACCTCTTCCAAAAAAGCAGCTCAGTAGTGTAGGGTCACTTCCACAGAAGCTTGGCACTTACTCTTTAGCCAGGCATGACCCTTTCAAGCTTTAATTTCTTTTCTAAATTGATTTTTCTGAAGCCTACATGTCATTAGGACTGTGGACAATAAAGCACTTTTCAGATGTCTTTGACCAGGCTGTGTCCCATGCAGCTTGAGGTCAGACTCAAGTCCATCTCCTGGTGTAAGGCAGGATGGACCCCAAGTGCTGTTAGGCAGGTTCCTCTGTCACTGTGTGCAGGGAAGAGAGAAAGAAAAGTGGAATAATCAGCTTCCAATGCAGTCCTTGGAGGTTTTGCCACCTTCCACAACGTTAATTTTTTCCACCATCTGTGTGATGCCGCTTTTTTGGGCTGAGACTAAGGTTTTTTTCCAGTGCAGTATCAGTTGTCAGTCTTGAGTCTCTGAGCCTCTTCAGCTGCTTTCCTCAGTCTGCCTTTTCTTCTAGTACCTGAGGGGGAATGAAAGGAGCCAAGTCTCCATAATTAAGTTTACTGAAGAATGCATTGTTGGAGTCTCATGGGTCTGGCTTCTTGCCTACACAATGTGCTGGAATCACTACATGGTGATCTGTAAATTATATTGCTACATCACTTTAATTATAGTCTTCTCTCTTTAATATCTCAGCTGCTTGCTCTGTGTGCTGCAGGACTGCCAATGATCAACACTTTTCCATCCTTTGTCTAGTTTTATGAAGCTGGTTAAGGGTGGTTTGCTGAGTCACTTTTTTTTGGGTGACCCTGGGCAATGCTTTATCCATCATTTACACATGAATCCTAACCAGTAAATGGGTTGCAGTCTCAGTCTACTAACACATGAAGCATAATCAGGGAATTGTAGAGTAGTCCTAAAACTACTTGAGGAGGTCCTGGTATATGTAGTACTTGGGATTTAAGGTCCTGTGATATACTTGAGGTGGTGGTGTTAGATCAGAGGCTGAACTTGATGATCTCAGAGTTCTCTTTCAGCCTCAATAATTCTGTGATTCTGGAATGACTTATAACTTTCTTTTAGTAGAAGTGAGAATTTTTGGGGTATTATGGTTAAGTATAAAGTAGCCAAAATGTGGTTAGCCCTTAGCTGGAGTGTCTGAGCCTGTTTCACTTGGCTAACTAAGGCTTTGGGGTTTTTTTTTGTTTACCATTTAGTCTCTCTTAGTGACATTAGTGGATATAACTCTTTTAACCTTTTGTTTAGATTCATCTCTTCTGAATAAATGAAGAAAGTGACTATGAAAGCACAGCATCTACCTTCTGTTTCCATCAATGAGGAGAAGTTCATAACAAGGTAAATTATTTAAAGAAAAAAAAATATTTCATGACTTTGCTGCTTTTTTTCCAAGTTGCTCCACGTTTATTTCTTAGCAGGGGATCCTGTGAAGGGCTGAGCCTGTAACAGCAGCAATTCTTGCAACTTGCTTTTTATGAAATGTCTACAGAAAACAGGTGCTCTTTATTTGGATTTTAAAGCACTAAACCGTTTTGGTTGGTGGATTTTGTTCCTTAGGCAGACCAGCACTTTGGGAGGATACTGAAATAAAATTCTAAATTAGGGAAGACCTCCCTGCTTTTGAAATCTACTGGAACTGAAAATAAGTGGCAGTGTTTAACTTGAACTCTACTGGTTTGAGGCATGTGGTTTGGTCTCCTGTCCCAGATGGCAGGGTTTCTTCACAAGAAGATCTGTTGGGCTGCCAACACCTTTCTGTGCTGAGTGCAAGTGGTTCCTTAATCTACTCCTAGAAGACTTTGGGTCGCACTCAAACTGTATTTCCTGGGATGCTTTTCCACAGTTAAATCTGGCTGATAGGAATTTTTCTAATGTTGTAATAAGCCCTGAGCCTTCTGGAATATATAGATCCATCCCCTTTTTAGGGGATTAATTCTTCCCTTGTTGACTAGAGCACAGGTGCTGGAAGAGAGGGCTCTTCTCACTTCATTTCCATCCCTCTTGATGTTCCTGGGAGAAGAGGATAAGTGTAAACAATGGGGCCCAGGATAGAATTTCTCATGGTGCAGTAGCTGTTTGCATCTGAATTCCTATACTTGTATATGTGACATGAGCAGTGCTGTTGATTTCTCCCTTTTTAAGGAAGGGTGTCTGAGCTTTGCCCAAGGCACACAGGTAATAAATGTGTCCCTCCCTTTCTCCTCAAGAGTTGTTCCTTTTGTGCAGCTGCTGATCTGGGACAGAGTGCTTTTGTGTCAGAGGTAATGAGTCTGGGTGAACTTTCACACACTTGGCACACAAGAGCATTTGGACATGTACCAGATGAGCCAATGTCTCTGGGCTTCTGTGCACCTCTGTATTTGCCTGTTGAAGTGGTGAGATGTGGATCCTGGTCAAGACCCTTCTGCATTACAGTCATGGTGGAAAGTACTGTTCAAGTTGTTTTGCAAGAAAACAAGTGTTCCAGGAGTCACTAACACGTTCCCTGGGCACTCTGGCTTGCTTCTAGTGCCACTTCCAGGCTATTGTCCCTCGTCTGTACCGTGGATCTGCTGCTATGTGACTCCTCTTCCAGTTGTGTCATGCAGATCTTGCTGACATGGCAGGCCTGCTAATGGGTCATGGCACAGAGGCTGGGTGGGAAGGCTGCCCAAAGCACGTGGGGTGATTTGGTTGGCTGAACTATTGCATCTTTAAGCAGAACTGCCATAAATATCTGTGGATAAATGTGCAGGGCTCGGGGAGAAGGCGGCACAGGTGAATTGTCCTGGGTTAGTGCTTTCAGCAAACACCACCTGGGCTCTGTTGTGGTTTATCACTGGGACACTTGACCTTGCAGCTCCCTTGTATCCAGCCTTCATTACTAAAGAAAGTGGTGAATCTGCAGTAAATGTTACCTTTTAGGTGTTTGCCTCTAAGTTGTTCTACCAGTTACTTGGCTTTGGTTTCCAGTCTTGTGAGGAGCAGTTTTGCAACACAGCAGGGCTGCTGATTTTCTGGCAGTGTAACTCTTCAGAGATGACCTTGTGGCCAGGGCAGTCTTTGGGCCTTTGTAGTGAAGATGTGCTACAGCAAGAGTTATTCTGGAGTAAGCAGGCTGGGGCATGTGGGACTCCTTTCTGGGGCAAAAAGAAGAATGATTTTCTTTTCTGATGTCTCTCCTCTACACAAGGACAAAAAAGTCAGTGAGAGCTGCAGTTAAACATCTCCCTCAGGGCTTTCCTGATGGCTTGTGTGGTTCACCACCCTTGGTTGCACTAAGGCAAGACTGAAACCTGAAAGATTTATTTCTGCAAATTTCTGTGGAAGTTAATGGGAATTTTTTCTAGACGAGGCAAGAAACTAAGTGAAAAATCTTCAGAGCTTACTCTGAGAAACAGACTCTGCCTCAGAGGTGACTGTTACCACATGACTTAGTGCTTTTAGCCTGTGGTTTTATTTGCCTTTGCAGCCAACATGGACTGAGACTAATAGTTGGGCCTCAGTGTGACCCAAGTCCTTGTGTCTTCCTACTGTGTCTTCAGGCAACTGATCTCCCCAACTTTCTGCCTGGAAAAATCTTGCAAAATAACAGCTGTCACTAAAATTATTGTCCAAGGTATTAGGCTGCAAAATAGAAAGAGACTTGTGAGGTACTTAAAACATAAGCAGGATCAGCAGGTCTATTGCAACACCTGTCAAACAAAACCAGGTCTCTCCTACTTGCATGTTAAACTTAAATTACATTTGGATTTTGCCTGTGTATGAGGCCAAGACTTGCTTAATCTTGAGTGCCTTTAGCCAGCAGGATCAAAATTTCACTTGTATCTGATTCATATAAAAGTCTATTAAAACTTTTCCTTTTGGTGGGATGACCTGAATACAATCCCTCGTAGCTCACAAGGCCAGGTACCTATTCCAACACAGGGAAGAGAGGTCTTGACCACCTGTATTGCTAAGTTTTGAGATGTAAGTCAGTGGAAGTCACTGTTGAAAAGGCTGTGTTGGAGCCCAGCACTTTGATATAGCCACATAAAAGTATTTTTTGGAGAACAGCAGTAAGTTAAAGAAATAAGTAGCTTACATCTGGAGTGGTAGAAGGGAATGCAGCTGACCTTGCTGAGTTGAGTGGTGCAGGCCTTGGCCTAATGTTACCTGCTGAGGAAAAGCCCTGGTTTTTTCCCTTCTCACCAAGGGAGAAGGCTCAGCAAGCAACAGGATGAGGCCAAGCTCAGTTGATGAAGTGGAGCAAGAGAGGGGAAAAGCTCTTTCCTCTGGGGGAAGAACAACCCCATGGACCAGTACAGGTTGGGGGCTGAGCTGCTGGAGAGCAGGGTAGGAGAAAGGGACCTGGGGGTGCTGGTGGGCAGGAGGGTGAGCATGAGCCAGCAATGTGCCTTTGTGGCCAAGAAGGCCAAGGGCATCCTGGGGTGGGTTAGAAAGAGGGTGATTAGGGAGTGGTTAGTAGGTCAAGGTAGGTTCTCCTGCCCCTCTGTTCTGCCTTGGTGAGGCTGCATCTGGAATGTTGTGTCCAGTTCTGGGCCCCTCAGTTCCAGAAGGACAGGGAACTGCTGGAAAGAGTCCAAGGCAGAGCCACAGAGATGCTGGAGGGAGGAAAGGCTGAGGGAGCTGGGTCTGTTGAGCTTGGAGGAGACTGAGGGGCAACCTCATCAGTGTTTACAAATATGTTAAGGGTGAGTGTCAGGAGGGCAGAGCCAGGCTTTGTGCAGTGATGTCCAGTGACAGGACAAGGGGCAGTGGGTGCAAACTGGAGCACAGGAGGTTCCATGTGAATCTCAGGAAGAACTTCTTTGCTGTGAGAGTGACAGAGCCCTGGGCCAGGCTGCCCAGAGAGGCTGTGGAGTCTCCTTCTCTGGAGACATTCAAACCCACCTGGCCACGTTCTTGTGTGATGTGCTTTAGGTGACCCTGCTCTGGCAGGGGGGCTGGACTAGATGATCTTTCCAGGTCCCTTCCAACCCCTAAGATTTTGTGATTCAAGGTACTGGGGGAACCTTTTTCACTCACACACCTCTGTGCCCCTGTGTGAGCACAGTGTGTGCACCTCAGCTGGTCTCCTGCTCCCCACCTGCCCTCCCCAGCAGGTCAGCAGCCCAGCCTGGGGAAGGCCAGGGTTCTGCTGGCAGCTCTCAATGTTGGGCAGCACTGTCCATCAATCCCACCAGGTACTCTGCTTCAGCCTGGTGTCAGGTGTCTGCCCTGATGTCTCTACCTGCGTAGCAGCTGCTTGTACATGGGTCTTGAATGGTTTCAGCAGATCTCTGTGGAATTTGCTGTGAGAGGAGTTTGCAGCTGCTGTCCATTTTGCCTGTGCCTGGCTGCTACATCATCTCTTTCTAGACAAAACCAATGGAAATAATAGACAATTTGGAAACAAACTAGTTGCCTTTACTCACCACTGCAAGGCAGCAGGTTAAACCATCATGATTGGTAGTCATCTTGGTGCTTAAACATTGTTGGTGAGGAAGAATTTGTGTGCTTCCATGCAGTTGTGTCCCATGCTTAATTATCTCTGCTGGTGAAAATTGCTTTCTTGAATTACAATCTAAACAATCTTTGCTGCTTAACTGGTGTGGGGAAGAGTGTTTCATCCCTGGTGGTCCTGAAATATCTGTCTCCTAATTCTGTCTTTTTCAGTCCTCCTCATTGTGAGCTGCAACTTGTTTTTTGTCCCCACGGTTCATGCCATTTCCTCTGCTCTTCTGTGGACTCTTTCTACTTGGGGGGTGTGTGTGTGTGTGTCCTCCTTCACAAGCAGTGCTGGGAAGGCAGAGCACTGGGGCCAAATTCTGCCTTGGGCTGTGACTGTTCCCACCTGGCCCCACCAGCCTGGCACTGCTGCCTCGGGACCAGCAGCTGCTGAGCAGGAGGAACCAGGAGGTGCTTTTCCACCACCGGAAAGTCATCGCCCCCAGCTTGTGTTTGTGCAACGTGGCATTTATTGCTGTGTGCCCATGCCCAGGGGCTGTTTGGGCAGGTTAGAGCCCTGGGCTGGCAGCAGCACCTCCTGGTAGCTCAGCTGGGAGCGGGGTTTGCTCCGGTGCTCGGTGCAGGGATCCCTGCAGAATCTCCCCTGCTCCCCGAGCTGTGACGTGAGGAATGCTGGCTGTGCACCCTCGGGCTGCTCAGCACCTCAGGATGTGGAGCAGCCCTGTCTGTAGCCATTTCCCAGGAGGTTTGGAAATCGCATTGTTACAATTCAGGAGATGAAGTTATTTCTCTGCCAGCAAAGTTGCCGAAGGCAGGAGGAGGCAGCTGTGGCCTAGAAACTGGGATGTCATGCACCTCTGATTTGGTTATTTTGGAATGCCATCAAATCAGAGCCATTTTCTGAAACCCTCTTCTCCTGCAGTGTTGTGAGTTTCTCAAGGATGGAGACGGGCAGAGCTGCCAACCCTGGTGGTGGGTCTGAAACACTAAGTGTTAAACATCACCAGCACCAGTGTGCCTCACCTGCCCCATTCAGAGCAGCATGTTCTGCTGCTTTTCTTAATTACATCATGAGTTGCTATTTGGAATCTGAGATATGATGGGTAGGTTTAAAATCCTTGCTTGTTGGCAAAGGTTGGCTTCATATCCATCCTTTGAGCAAAGGCTTAGTGAGGAGCTGTTGTGTTTCGAGCAGTGGGAAACAAATGTTTTGTCTGGGCATTCTGTAGATATTTTGAAACAAGAAGAGTATCTGAAAAAAATATAAAGACCCACTGGAAACCATCAGGAGGGGAAAACAAATTGTAACCTAAGTAGAATTAGCTGCAACTTCTGTGCATGGGAGTGTTCTTCCTCTTTGCTTTCCCCCCCATGACCAAAGAGAAGTCCAAAGTACAAGTTATTCTGGAGGAGTGTTCCTAACGTCACACCAGACTGTGACTAATTTCATCTGTGTATCAGTCTTTAAAGGAGTGACTTACAAGTGACCTAGTACCCTGACCACATTTTACGCCCTGAATTTATTAATCATTAACCAACCTGTACAAAGATGCAGGGGATGATGCAGAGAGTTTCCCTTCTGCTTAACACTTGGTTTTTGCAGTGATAGATATGTTTAAAATTACTCCTTTCATTGTGATCTTTTATTCTAGAGAGCAGCTCAGTTCTCTTCTGAAGACCTATAACTCTTACTATTCTGATCAAGAAAACCTGCAGCTGTCACACAGCCAGGTAAGGTTCTACACAAAAATAGTACCAAAAACCACAGTGTAATAGTAGGAATAATGGGTGCTGATGGTCAGTGCAGCTGGACAGAGCAGTGTGGGATACCTGTTGTGTGTCCCTACATGAGATGGAATATAGTGCTGCAACAGAAACACCACAGCAGGTGCTGGAGTCAAGTGCTGTCAGGAGAAGGGAACTGAAATAGGTCTGTTCAGACTAATGGGAGTTTCAGGTCTCCAGCTGTGTCATCTCCTTGCCATCCCATTCCTTAGCTTATTACAGGAAATCATCCTTTGGGTTGGTCTCTCAGGTCTTCTGTCATTAGCTGGGAGGGAGCAGCACTGCAGATATTTGGGGTGCGGTTCCTCCCCACGCCCTCGGCTTGAACCTGCCCTGGGTAATGGCAGGACTGGGGTCAAGGAGGGACTGTTGCTGTCCTCAGGTGTGAACCTCTAGGACACAGACAATGCTCACAATATCTTCTCTGTGGGGAGCAGAAGGGACTGTGGAGCTGAAGGGTGGATGAAAGCATCAACTGTGTCTCATCCCACTGAGTTCAGAGCTCTGAGCTTCCTTCTCTCCACAAGCTGCCTTTCTGTTATTTTGCTGGTATCAAGACCCAAAGGGACATGAGAGAAATTCAGAGCAAAAATGGTCTGAAAATGGACAGTTCTCACTTCTGTCCCAGCTCATTCTGCAGTGACAGAGTTTGATGACAAGAGTTTTGGACTGATGCAGGGCCCTGCATTGAGTTTGATGACAGCAAGAGTTTTGGACTGATGCAGGGCCCTGCATCAACGAAGATGATTAACTGCTTCTCCTGCCTTCACCAGCAGTTGTTCTTCCCCTTTCCCACCTTCTTAGCATCCTGCTTTCTGCAGAGCTAGTCATTCGAGTAGAACAAAGAGGATTTGACTAGTAGTTGTATGGAATTACAGACATGTTGGTTGGAAAATCCTGTTCAAAGTCAGACTAATGCTGACAGGTCAGGACAGCTGCAGCTTTAGCTACCTGTCTTGGAAACAGCTGAAGTCTGAAGAGTACACAGCATCTCTAAGTGACTTGTTCCAGGGCTGTGTCAGCCTCAGATCTCGTCATGCTCCTGTTACTTGGAGGGGAAAACAGTTATTATTGCTTGGTTATTGTGCAGCACTCCTTCTTCCTTTTTTGTTTTTCCAGCAAGAAGGAAGCAAACCATTTATTGAAGGGATCTTGTCAATATTTTGGGGAGTACGACATCCTATCCAATTAAAAATTCAGGATGAGAAGCAGATACCCTCTTTTGTGACCTTGAAGTCAACGGAGAGTGTGGCTTCATTTCCTAATAAAAGGTAATTAATGTGTTTCTTTCCATTGCTTCCATGCATATGGCTGGGTATAAATCCCAGATTTCCCAAAAGCTATGGTGGTCACTTGCACAGCAGTGTTGTGTAATTGGGGTGGTCTTTCAACAGCTTCTGCTGGGCAAAAAGGTGCATCTTTATTGCATCTTTGTCTGTCTTTCAGCTGAGGAAGAGTTGAGAATGTGGAGAGTAAGCTGATCTTGTCTAGACTGACTATTCCCATGCAAGGACTGGGGAATTTATGTATATAAAAACTTTAAAAAAACAACAATCAACCAACAAACCACGGACCAAAAAAACCACACACATGTATAGATACCTAAAAACACTGGTAGCCCCTGAAAGATCTCATGCTCTACAGCATGAAGCAAAAAGCTGGTAGGTTAGTGCTAAGTGATTGTCTGTTGCAGGTTAACATCCCAGGTCTTCAGGTGGGACACCATTGCCTCTCAGGGCAGAGTCTAAGCCATGGAACAAGAACTGTGTCCCTGCAAAATCTGAGGTTAAAACCTTTTAGAGACACACACAGAGCAGCTGCTCCTTCAGGCTGCAGCCTGCGACCTGTCCTAGCTGGGTGTGTGGTGCTGGTCTGACTCCTGCCAGATTTGCACTCTCTTTCAACACTTGTGTCAGTTCTCAGAGTATTTCCCCTGTTGAGAACACACTTTCCCAAGCTTTGGTTGGTGAATTTTGAAATTAATCTGATGATCTAAAGCCAAGTCAAGTGTGATGTGGATGCAGAGCCAGTGTGCACCCTTAATGACTGCCTGAGAAATCCTGTATTTCAGAGCTCCTTTCCTTAATTATCCATTGTCTTAGATTGCATGTGGCAGATGTTTCTACCATGGTGGCAGCTGTGGAGTTCAGTAGAGTCAGGGACAGCCTTTTCCTCCCTGTCTCATGCTGCTGAAATTATGGGGTGTAACCTGACAGGAATAACCAGGGAGGAGCTCCAGTCCGAGGCACGTCTGCTTCTCTTGGCTTTACCTTGACCAGGTCCACTGCTACAGGTGCCCATGGCCTGTAGGACAGGGTCCAGTCTGGCAGTTAAGGTTCTGCTTTGCCTTTTATGTCTCAAGAAGCTTATGTCTGGTGGAGATCTGAATCTTGAAGTAAATCTTAATTCATGCTCACAGAAGTGTGAAGCTGCCCTGACATGCTTTCAGGTATGCAGAGCAGCTCAACTGTTTGTTCTTAAATGAACTTTTAAAAATGCACAGGACATGATTGAGTTCATCATTTGGCTTGTGCTTTGGAGTTAGTTTAATACTGTTTTGAATACTTATATATGTAGGAAATGAATTTTAAGTATTTTCCTACCAATTGGGTTATTCTTAGGGCAGTAACTGACCAAAGACTTTCTACTAGAGAGTTACTGCAATGAATTACGGAAATAGTGACATAAAGTTGGGGTTTAGAACAGGCTGGATTGAATTCTCTGAACTGGTAATCTAATCTTTCATGACCCTGTGTAACAGGCATGATGTGGCCTGTGACTATTTAAACTCAAGTGTGTGTCTGTTCTATATCCCTGCCTGGTACCCTGATCAATCCAGAGTGTTGCTATAAAATAGTGAAAGAAATACTGCAAATTATTTAAGAGACATCGTGGTTGATGCTCAACAGACTGAAGAGGTTGTGTTACATTCCTGCTTATGCCACATTTTACTAACTGATTTTGTTATGATCTAAACTAAAATGCCTGGCTTCATGTTCCACGTGTAGTTTAGGAAGTTTGGACCAGGGATAGGAATGTGTTGTGAGGAGCTGGGTTACAGGAGACATGGAAATCACTGAATTAATGAGAATAATCAACTATAAATGTTTGGTATTTCAGGGGAATGACACGCTGGGGAGAATTTGATGACCTCCATCACATCAGTGGGGACACCTTGAAATCTACTGAAGAAAAGCCAGACCTTGAGAAAAGTTAGTGTTAGTGCTTTTTTCTTTAGTGAAAAAGCAGTGTTGTGTGGCTGTGCAGAAATCCCTGGGCACATCAGGCCTTCCCTGGAAGGGAAGGGGAACCTGTTTCTGTGTCTGCCTGACATCCCTGATGTGCCAGCGAAGCACTGAGGTGTGCTGGTGAGTGGGGACATTGCTGTGCAGATCACTTGCGGAAAGGGCTGTGCTGCCACCAAAGGAGCCATTCCCAGGGGAAGAACCTTCTCCCTGTGCTGGCAGGGTGGGTAGAGCAGCTGTTCTGTTTTGCCCAGGCTCCTCCTGTTACCAAAGCCATACCCTGAAGGCCCCTCGGGGGCAGGAGCAGGACTGTGCCACCCTGCCCAGGGCTGGTGCCACCGCAGCCGCCACGTGCAAGAGGACCAGGCTGCCCATGATAGCCAGGACAGAAGTGGAGACCCACAGGTTCTCCATCAATGGCCACTTCTACGACTATGAGGTACGGATGTTGAAGCCTGTCAGGTTGGGTAGAGCAGCTTCTGGAGCCTGCCCTCCCTGGCCAGGCCCTTGGGGACTGCTCCAGAAGGTGGGTTTCTGTGCGTGGGGAGGGGTCCACGCTGGTCCTACATGTCCTGGAGACACTGCCCACCCACACCTGGCTGCTTGCTGGGCACCTGAGCTCTGCTGGCTTGTGTCCTTTCAGTCCCCAGCTGCTGAGCACAGCAGCCCTCACAGCCCTTTCCCTGCTTCTTTGTTCCCAGACCTCAGTTTTCACTCCAGCTTTTGGGTCGGAAACCAAAATAAGAGTAAACAGCCAGATGAGGACAAGACAAGTCATAGAACAACTGCTTCGGAAGTTCAAGGTAACTCCGGGTGTTTGCAGAAGCAAGTGCAGCCCCGTTTTGGAAATGTTACCCAGAGTGTGTCCCAGCAGTGCTGTGTGAAAGGGAGAAAATAACTGGGGGGGGGGAGCATGGAAAAAAAACCCCACACGAGCCATTTTTAAAGGAATGGGTTGGTTTTGTTTTACAAATGCTTCAGGGCTGCTTGAGCCCAGGAAAGGGGCATGGGGTGTATGGTGGGCAGTGACAAGAGGGCTGCAGGACTCCTCTCTAAACACAGGAGGCGAAAATGCTGCTGCACTTCCAGCCTTTCTCAGCACGGAGGAAGGAGGTTTGTTGAAAGCACATGACCCTGCTTCCCTCTAGTGACGGGCACCAGTGATTGTATTTTGCTTCAAACAGAAGGGAAATAATTCTCTTTAGCCCGAGGGCCTGGGATACCTGTCCTGTTGGATCCAGGCACACAGAGACCTCCAGAAAGTCCAAGTTAAAACTTTGGTGCTCAAGAGCAGTGCCATGCTGCCTGAACCCTGGCATTTCCTTGGATTTCCTTTGGTACCCTCTTCCATTAACAGGATTATACCCAGTCAGGAATGTGTTTACCAGTGGGGCTGTATGTTTCTCCACTCTCTGTATTTTACATGGCTTCCTAGTGTTCAGGTTTTGATCATTCTTCATTTACCTTGTCTGGAGACTATTGCAGGATTACTTTGTAGGGTTGGTAAGACTTAGCAGTGTAAGGCTTTAGGTTGGCTTTAGTGAATGGTAACATAAGGGATGGAATACCAGAGCAAAGTTGTGGGGAGTAAGTGGAACACTGTGTTGAGCAGGACTCTCTATTTTCTGCATGTGTTTGTGCAGGTGAGTGGGTAGGATTAGATGAGAGGGTTTACCCTCCTGGCGTGTCACCTGAGATGTAAGTTGTGGGAAGTAATTCAGGATGCTCCAAGGAAGCAAGATGTGGTGGTGCCTAAGAGGGTGTGTTACTGACTGGGGCAATATGGTCACACGTGCAGCCAGGAGGTGGTGGGACACAGGGACAATGAACGTGGCAGCAGAGCTTCCTGGCTTATCCCAACCCAGAACATTTGAGCTTTTCCCCAGGCAGGATCCCAGTCTCAAATTTAAATACCTGAGCTGAGCAGCCCAGAGAAGATCTGCTGGCAGTGAAGTCCTGGGGAAGTGTATCAGTCTGAAGAGACTTTTTTGTTTGTGTTTAACAGATAGAAAACAGCCCACGTGAATTTGCACTTTACGTTATCCATGCGTCCGGAGGTGAGTGTGCCTGCTTCACCTGGAGTGCTGGGATCCAGCTGTCCTTGCTCAGGTGGTGTGGGCTCAGGGTGGCATTTTGGCTTTTCTGGAGACCCCTTGGAGATGTGTGGTCTGCTGGAGAGGAAAATGGGAGTGATGGTGCCCTGAGTGCTTTCAGTGTGCTGCTGGTGGGGCTGGCTCAGCTCCACAGGCCTTTGCTCCTCCTGGATCTAAAGGTTCTGTTTGAGATGCTTTTCTGCTCCACCCTGTGCTCCGTGCAGCCATGCTGCAACTGTGGGATGCCAGGCTCCTGCTGGCAGTGCCAGGGGCTGTTTGGATGATATTCCTGGCTCTCAAATGCCTGGGTCAAGTCCTCCTTTGGCTCCCTAAGTTGTAACCCCTTTGTGTTGCTTCTACCAACTCCTTTCCCAATGCATCGTACCAGGCAGGTGCCGCATCCTCCTGCTGATGTGTCTCAGAGGCTTGTTCAGTATCCAGTGACTGCCCAGCAGCCAAATACAGGATCTTTGTCAGGAAAAAAAGCCTCCTGGCTGCATGAGGTATCTTGAGGCACCATCACGTGTTCTGTGCATCACAGCATTTCTTTTAAATCCCAGAAAAGAAGCAGCTGAGGAGTGGAGATGTTCCCTTACTGCACAGGCTCCTACAGGGGCCCTCAGACAAGGTTGCCAAGTTTTTCCTGATGGACAGGGATGTGGAAGAGATTAGCAGTGATGTATGTATAACACCTCTTGTCATCATTCCCAGTGGCTTCCCCAGTGACCACACCTCCTCATGGGCATTTCTTGTTGTCTACTTGTTAGGTTGCTCAGTATCTTCAATTTCATCTTCCCTTTTTGGAGTCAATTCTGCACAGAATAAATGAAGAAGAAGAGCAGGAGATTCAGCAGACAATTGCAAGGTAAATAAAAGTTAAACAAGTGGGGTCACTTGGAGTCCAGGAGAAGAATTTAAGTTACAGGTTGGCCTGAGAGGTGAAGGTATTTCTGTAGCAGGGTGCAGTTCAAATGCTGTGCTGTGACTGAAGTTAAACCTGTTGGCATCAATAATCCTTTACGTCTTGCTCACCCAGAGGAGCTGTTGCTGTTAGATGACAGAATAAACACCAACTATGTAGTCATGGGGGGGATCTTTACAGAAAATCCCAGCCCTTTGGGTTACTTCTGTTTACTTGGTCTGTCTTCTGAGCCTCAGGCTGGTTTCTTAAGCTCTACCTGCTGCCATGTGTGTCCTTGGAAAGCATCAATGCAGTGCACACACTGGTACTATTTAGTTAGTGTTGAAGCTAAATTAGTGCCAAGTCCTTAAGTGTCCCTTGAAAACTTCTGAGGAGTGGCAAGAGTGCTGGGGGGAGCTAAAAATGCACAGCAGGTACAAGTTAAAATGCAGTGGTGGTTTGGGATGCCCAGGAGAGTCCTGAGGACAAAAGCAATGAGAGTCTGTACCAGCTGTGGGTCTGTCATCAAGTGATCATCTGAAAATCACTCTGAATCAAAGTGACCAGGAAATGTAAAGGGAAAAAAAATGAGAATGGCAATTGCCATTTTATGTCAGGAAAGCTCTCATTAGGGTATTTTTCAGCCTTTCAACTAGTACATTAGAACTGGGGTTCAATTTATGCAGGATTCTGTGTTAACGAAATGCATGTTCTTCCTCTCTCTTGCCCCCTCTCTCTCAATCTCAGGTACCTGAAAGAGAAGACTATGATTTGCCAGCACCTTCACAGTCGAACTGCTAAGAAAACAGAGACAACTGTTTGATGGGAACAGCCTGTTGTCAAGTCCCCCACCTTTACCAAAGGAACCTCAGAATGTGTGCTTGGATGTGCCCTGACTGAAGAGCTCTCACAGCACGGGGGGGATCCAAGTGCTAAAGCTTCTCTTCATAAATATGCAGCTGAACTGAACCCACTGCTCTGGAATGCAAGTTGGGACCCATTGAAGATGATGCACCAGATCATCCAAAGACAGATGCTGCATCTAGCTGGAAGCTTAAGATAGGGGGGAAAAAATCCTGAGAAAAGCACAAGGCTTTAAAACCTGCTAATTTACAAACCATTACCAGAAGTCCAGCACAGAAGACAAACATTGCAATAACCAGTGTGTTAATCATACAGAAAATACTAAAATTAAGTACATGGTTTTCCTCCTGCTACAGAAATGTTAAATTATTAGGAAGAAGCTTTTCAGTAGAGATAAGTGGCAAAAGGTATTTATGTATCTAAGACTTCAGTTAGGCTTTTCACCTATATTAAAAAATAAATTTGTGCAAGAGAGACCTGAAATCCCTCTGGCCTCAGGCTGGCAGGGGCCTAACTTGCTTAGGCTTTGAGCTACAGTTAGAAAAATAGCAATGGGAGCCCTCCCACCACACGTAGCTACTCAGCTCTTCAGCATCAGAGGGAGTTTGTCCCTGAAATATCTCTTGAACTGCCACTCAGTGCTGCTGTGTCTGCTTGCTGGGGTCCTGGGGGCACCTCAGCATTGGTTGTGGTTGAAGCAAATATTCTGTGTTGCTTCCTGGGTTTTATATTTAAAAGTGGGAATGAGAAGAGTTCAGTGAGAGGCTGAAGGTGGCAGCCTTGGTAGGGGGGTGTTGGTGTCCCCTCCCAGGTGCAGCCTGGGGACAGCCTGGCCCCAGGGCTGTGAACAGTCACCAGCCATGGGGCCCTGTCTGCTTGGGTCATGCTCAAATTGTGGAGATTTAAATACAATCCAATTTATGCACAATTAATTAATTGCTTTCCTGTAGTAGTTTGGGTTTTGTGGGGGGCTTTTTTAACGTGGTATCTGTGTTTTGCCTCAGTTACCTCTGGCTGATGCAGATAAGAACACAAACACTGTGAGAGGGAGGGAATGAATGTGTGGAAAATGTTGCCTAGAAATAACGTGGAATAAATCAAACATGAAAACCTGTTCCCTGCCTGAGATGGTATTTGGCTGGTAACTTAATCTGCTAATTGAATCTATTGTGATTGGGACAAGGGGTTTATTTCAATGTGCAATCTATTCTAATCCTGCCCAGGGAAACAGTTATGGGCAAGGGATCACAGAAGGGAGAAATAAAAATGATTCAGCAGCCAGGCTGCATGGAATTAAGTAACAGTTGCCTTGGAGGTGTAAATAGAAGTTCCTTGGATCAACAGAAGCAGGCACACAAGTGTGACTGAAGTTTCCCCAGGGACCCATTCAAATCTGTGTTTGACAAGTTTAAGGAGACTTGAAACTTGCAGTAAGCCATCCCAGGTGGTAGTGGTGAGGTATCCCAGGTGGTAGTGGTGAGGCAAGGAGACTTCTCAGTGAGGTCTGAAGCAGAGCCCAGGCAAGTTCTCCCCCAAAGGCAGGCAGGAGTTGGCAGTTCCAGCTTCACAGGGTCCCTCCTGGGAAGCCCCAGGTGGGTTGGACTGACTCAACAGTGTGAGTGTCAGGGCAGGAGCAGCCCCTGGGGCTGGGTTCCTGGCTCTCTTCTGCTGAAGTAACTGTGAGGGACAAATCAGAGCCCATTTGCACAGCAATATTGAGAGAGCTCAAATCCATGAGCCAGGGAAAAAAGCTCATCCCCACTCATTAGGAGGTGGCAGGTGCTGCAGGGATCTCTGCCCACCCTGCAGCACCTCTTTCTCCTTTCAACCAGAAAAATACTTCAGGTTGGGGTTTCTTATGCAGAATAGGCAATTACTCATGTTCCATCTGGTAAATGCTGAGTAGCTGTTTGAAGGGGCAGTGTGAAAATAGTGGAATGTTAAATATTTTTAATTCCTTGGTCTGAGGTTAAAAAAGAAAAGCACTTTCCAAGCAGGTTCTCCAACCCTCTGTGTATGTGCATGATCTCTACATTGAGCCATTTTTTGGTCACCATCTGATGTTGAATGCATGAATCCTTTATATTTCACTTGTTCTGCTGGAGTGGGACTGAAAGATGCTGGAAAAGAACTATGGAACATAGCACAGGTTGCCTAAGGTCTGCCAGGGTTTAAGGACCAGTGAAATAAAGCTGCAACTTTGCTGTGATGTTCTTTGTGAATGCTGCCCTGGTTTAAATGAAGGATTGCTGGCAGATGGAAGAACAGGGGAAGAATTTATTTCAAAGTATTATTGGATCTCACAGCAATGAGGAACAGAGGGGAGAGAGGAAATACTATTTTTTTTTTTTCATTTGGAGCCTAAGCCATTAGCCATAAAGACAGTGAGTTAGAGTATGATTCTTAGCTGAATTTGTACTACCAAGCTACCCTGTGAGAAAAATCCAAAGTCATCACTGGATTTCAAAAAAAGCCCAATAAAACCACCACCCCCCAACTCCAGAAGACTGATCTGATTCAGAACATAAATGCTTAAGCAAACACAGGGCAATGAGGAACCCAAGATGGCCACCTGATCATGGGTTTGGTGTGGAAAACATCCCTGGGTGTAAAGCTTGTTTGAGGTTTTGGTGTCCCTGCCAGCTCCCCACCTTTCCCAGACAGTTGATCCTGGTGTTTCGTTCTCCTTCTTGGGCATGGACTGGCTGCTTTTATGCTGGGATCAAGTCTTTTTTTGGTATATGAAGATTTCCAAGTTCCTGCAGCCTTTCCTGTTAAGCCAGGCAATTCCAAGCTATTTTAGCTTTCCTGGTTTGTGGATCATTGCCTGTTACTGTTACTCTCTTTTTCAGGGAAACACTTTCTGGAAGCAAAGTACCCAAGATTTGTCCTCATGTTTCAGTCCTTGCCAGAGGTGAGGAAAATGAAACCATGAGCCATGGATTTCAAAGGTGGTTTTCCTGTCCTCTGTTGTTCTGCTCACACACCAGGCACCAAGTTAGACCTAAGCAGCAAACCACTGGTGACTTGGTCAGCTTGTGATGTGTTGTCAGGGCATTGTTATCCACACAGCTTTTAAACAGTTTTCCTGCACTGCAGCTGCTGAATCATACCTGTGCCCTATGTTAAAATTCTCCCCGTGGAACACAGCTGGATTTTTCTGGGCTATTTCTCTCATTCACCAGGATGGTTTTGAATTTTAAAATGTTGCACAGGGGTTTGCAGTGTGTGTCTCTCCTGCTGTCAGTCACAAACCCAACCAATCCTTTTTACAGACAGTACGGCCTAGCAGGATGTCTAGGATGGATTTTCATGGGAGTCAGTTTGCCTGACCTCTTCAGTCTGGCTCTCAAACCTGCTCTCTGATGGTTCTACCTCAGGCTGGGTTTGCATGTTATGAGATGTTTGTTTGGGAAATGTTTCCTTATCTTACAGCTCATCTGAAACACTGCCAGGGTAACTACTGCCACAGAAAGGACCTGCTTCCAGCCCAAGTATTTATTTCTTTCCATACTCTTTTGACTTAGGATTTTTTTAATGTGCATTCTAACTTCTTTTAATGTAAAAAGAAAGCAAAACCCCAAAAGCTGTTTGTGTATCAAACCACCTGCAGTCTACATGTGGCAGCCTCCCAGTGCTTTCCCTAACCACTCATCTGCTGACCAGCACCAGGTGATGCACCTCTCTCTGGACTTTGAGTTACTTTTGGTTTAAAGCTTATAGAGCCTTGGTTATCTTGGATCAAAGTGTCAGGAGCCAGGTATGAAGTTTGTGTGCAGGTTTCTCCTCTCATCTGAATATAATGGATGCACAAGTTTAATCACCAGGAGAGCTGAGCTCTGCCAGCAGCCCAGGCTCCTGGTTCCACAGCTCAGCAGGGTCCCTGTGGGAACTGGAGGGTTTATCCTGAGGCACCTCCTTCTCCAGTTCTGCCAGAGAGGGGTAGAACTGTGGCTGGTGTAAACCCTCAGGACTCCCCGAGGTTTGTGAGTGAAGAGACACGACATCATTTTCTCCTCTAGGACAAAATCACATGCTCCTTTTTAGGCTTCATCAACATTTAGGGAAAAAAACAAACAAACGTGCTCACTGCCAGGCTTGGGTGAGTCCCTGTCCTTCAGCAAGTGTCTCCCAGTGTGCTACACAAGCTCTTTATGCTGACAACATCTTTTCACTTCTTTTTATAAGTTCTGGACCCTGAAAAAAAAACAAAAAAAGAGAGATGTCTGAGAGCAGCAGTGGAACAGGAAGATGCTGCAGGAGTGAAATGAATGTGGTGGCAGGAAGTGATGTTTGGTGATCTTGTGTGCTAACTGTGTGCAGGGTGCACCTGCAGGTCTCACTGTGTGTCAGGTGCATTTTCTCTACATAGAACACACCTTTTGCTTTCACTGCTCAGCTCAGATCACCTTAGGAGATTTGGTATTTGTCAGGAAAACACTGAAATACAGTTCTGTTAGAAAAACTTCATAGAATGATTTTTTGGAGATGTGCTGGTTGGGGGGGGGGAGGTGTTTGGAGGTTGGAATTTCTGAGTAACAGAACAGGATTTTCTAATTTAGCATTTAAAGTGAAGAAAGGGAGAGACTTGGGAGAAGACAGAGCAAGGCTCAGGGGTCGTGGGTGGTTTGTTAAAGTTCAGTTAAGGAATACACAGAAGAGAGAGGGATAAGAAGTAGACCCAAGCAGAGGGTAGAGAGAAGCCAAAGTTGTTCTGTGGTATGAAGTTCAGTGAGCTCAGATATCATAGGAAAGGGAAGAGGGAGAATAAACAGGGAAAATGACCTAACATTTTCATAAATCCTTTTTCTCCCTATTGCAGAGGAACTTCTCAAGAGAAGTTGAGTTAGGAACTGTGAGCCTGGGACAGCCCTTCAGCAGTGCAAGGCCCAGTCCCTCCCCAGCAGCAAGAGCTGGAGCTGAGCTCTGTCCCTACAAACTGCTGCACACAAACCCCAGGCTAATTAGAGAAGTTCTCTAGCGCTCATTCAACTGCTCCACCTCCTCCTGCGGGCAGCCGAGTTCGTCCTTGGAAACGGAACCGCGGGAATTCTGGCTGCCGGGCTGCTCGATGGAGCAACGTCCTCCCTGGGCAGTCCCCCGGGGGGGTGTGTGTGTGTGTTGTGCTGCCGGGGGCGGGCAGGAGCGGTACCTCTGCGGAGAAGCAGAGCTCCGGGCTGGCAGCCCCGCAGCCCCGCTCCCGCAGCGCCGCGAACGCCGCGGCCACCGCGCTCAGCTGCTCCTGGCTCAGCCGGGGCTTGTACTTGATGAGGTTGATGAGCATCCTGCAAGCAAAGCACAGCAAAGGCAGCGCCGTGAGGCCCCGGGGGGAGCAGCAGCAGGGAGAGCTTCTCCAGAGCTGTTTTGTCCCTGCCCGCTGCCCTCCCACAGCTTTTCCACCCTGGTTCACCACCCAGAGAGGTCTTTGCAGCAGATGTGCCCTGTTGCCCCGTGAGACCGAGCATCAGTGCTCGTTTCTGGGGCTGTTCCACCACCAAGAGGCCGTGCAGGGGGGCTGGGGGGTCGTTGAGCAGCACTGCAGGGTGCCCAGGGCAGCCTGGGGTCACTGCAGCACCAGGGAAAGGCCGAAGAGGTTTCCTTTCCTTGCAGTCACTGGGGCAGGCAGCATGTGAGTCTTCTCTGACCAAGGTGACCGAACACCAGTTTCAGAGGCTGAAGGAGAGCGTGGGCTGGGCTGTTCTGGGGAAGGAGCCCTGCAGGTCCTGCAGTGCTTCCCTGGGAAATGCCTCACATCCCTTTTGTTCCCCCTCTGAGAATGACTTTCCTCAAGTCTAAGGCAAGTAAATATGGGTGGAACCAGCTGGCAGAAGAAACTGGGACTAGTGGGAGAGGAGAGAAAAGGACCTGGGAAGAGGGATTGAGGAGCATCTGTTTGGTTTTCCATGGAATATTGCAGACCAGGAAGGCCAGGCAGAGCAAGCAAGGGACAGGTGAGCATTGCCAGGGAAGGAAAAAAGGGGGAAGAAAATAAACAGGCATGTCTTACTCCTGCTTCTTGTGCTGTAACTTTTCTTCTTCATCTGTACACAAGTCTTCATGGAAAGTGAACAGATCAGGAGTCAAGGATAAAGGCACAAAATTCTCATCAACTTCTAGTTTCCCCATGCATGGTCTCCTGAGAGCATAGGAGCTACTACAGCAGTGGCAAACTCCTGGGTTTATAGGATCAGTCTGGTGTCTTCTACATATTTCTCCAAGCACAAGATCCATCTTTACCAAGAGAAGTGAAAAAAAAA